ACATGGTGATGAAGGAGACCTGACTCTGGGTGGTGAGCACACAATTCAATATACAGATGATGGGTTATAGAACGAGCACCTGAAACCTGTATCGTTTTATTAACCAAGGTCACCTAACAAATTCAATACAATTTTTAAATAAATTAAAGAAAAGCAATGTCTAGGAGCTCAGACGGCGTCTCGGTAAGTGCCTCAGCCGACGCGAGCCCCGGCTGCCCGGCTCCGGTCCGTGGAGGTCCGTCCCTCTTTATTTCTCCCACAGTGTTTCTAGCAGCGCGTCGGGGGGAGCTGAGTTCATGATGATTCCTGTACAAGGTAATGACATTTGGGTGGTTTTAACAACATGAAAGCCCGTTTACAGTCAACAAGTTAAAAAATAAAAAGAACTTAAGGTGTGCGACCTGCAATTCTCGGTTTCAGGAGCTCACAGGAATGGCCTTCTCCACTCTCCCTCCTCTCTCCCTGGCGGCTTTAACCTGGAGGTGGTGTCGGCTTTTTTCCTGCCTCTGCGCCCCCCGTGTGGACGGCGTTTATTTAGGGCGTTCTTGACGCCAGGCGCTCCGGGTTTTCCTCCTGATTCCCCCTCACCTTGACTTTAAACTGGGATTTGTTAAGGCTCTCACACTTTAAAAAAACAACACAAAGGAGGTGATATATCAAAAGACCTGAAAGGTCTTTCACGGGAAATTGAACAGATGGGCAAATACAGTCTGTTGGCTTATTCTGTCCTTGGACAGAAACTCTGGGAAAAGGTACAAAGGGAAGTGTGGCTCCGGGCCCCTTACATAACCTGTTTTAGGTGGAAATCCGTGTGTGGGAAGGACTTGGGTACAAAGAGCACACTTACGCTGGAGCAAAAGGTGATATTTATCATTTCCCTATAATTACACATCTGCCAAGTTCAGCTCACTATCTTTTGATACTTTTAAAGATGTTTTTCAGTCAAGAAACAATTATTTTCATAATCAATTCAATCAATGGACATTTTGAAACACCTCTCTGAACCTCAGTTCCCTCACCTGTAGAATGAAAATAGTATCTGTTTTTTCAGTTTGGTAAATTAAGTGAGAAATTGTATATAACATGCTAGCTGATATTTCTGGTTATATGTGTATTTCATTTCCTCAGTAAAGATGTGCCTCATATTCTAATGCTGAGGGCTAGCAATTAAAAAAAATATACATATATTGATTTTAGAGAGGAAGGGAGAGGGAGGGAGAGGAGAGAGAAACATCAATTAGCTCCTCCTGCACACCCCTGACTAGGGATCAAGCCTGCACCTGAGCATGTGCCCTGAGCAGGAATCGAGCCAACGACCTTTTGGTGCCCAGGAGGACACTCAACCAACTGAGTCATACCAACCAGGGCAGGGTTAGAAATTTGATGTTTCTCCTAAAATCTAACTGAAAGCAGAAAAAGAATCACAATGCACTGGAATTGGAGCAGAAGGCAACATTCTACCTAATTTGAAATCCTGACAGGCTCAACCTGTGTGCCAATAGCTGAAGGTTAACAGAAAGTCCCTCGACGTCAGTGTTTCTAACTCAGCTGCAGGGCCGGCCTGTAGGGATGCCGCCATCAGGGATTTCAGCCTCAGCTCTGTATATTCTGATCCTATCTGTGTCACAGGGCCACAAGTATAAAAGATTCAGTAAATCTGTGTTACAGTAAAAATGCACATTAATCAGCTCAACATATCAAGTGCACGGCGCGCTCTTAAATACCCTGAAACATGCTGCCCACGGGAAGGTACAGAGTATAGTTGGGGAAACGAGGTATAACCATATGGTGCATTAATGAAAGCAGAGGGAAGAGTTCTGCAGATTAAGTTTGGGTAGCAAGGTGTTTGATTTCAGAGGAGGGAGCTAACGCACGTGCTGAGACGGCCGGAGAAAGATCTGTGGGAAAGGAAGATCTCCACGGGAACGGGAGGCTTTGTAAGGAGGGGGAGGGGGAAGGGGTACCCCGGGCGGAGAAAGGTCAGGGCGGCAAAGGCAGGAAGGAATGAGAGACACTGTGAAGGTGAGTAGAGGGGCTGATGGCAGGCGGCGAGGGGCTATGGAGTACTGGTGGGAAGGCGGTTGGGAAGGTAGAATGAAACCATCAGCAGGATGCATTTCCTGAGGCGACTCTCGCATTCGGTTTGCTCTGTTGACACCAGCAGTGGCATCCTGCACGCACAGGATGTCACGATCCACGCGAGATAATCATGTGACCCCCGGGAACGTCGGGGACCCTCACTCCTTACGCTGATATTAAGACAGAACTAGTTAACCAGTTTCCTGCACACTACCTCGATGGCGGGCCTCCTGCCCCAGCCCCCGGCTGCGTGGTTCCCGTGGCACTGAGTTCTCCTGCCGGCCACTAAGCACGTGGGTCTGACAGCCTTCCCGTCGGCTCAGACGGCACGAACCTGCACTTGCCACTGCTCACTCCGGGCTTCCACTGTCACTGTTTTGTGGTTCAGGTAAAAGAACAGCTGTCTCACGTCCACGCCTGGAAGGCGCACCACGTGGACGCTCCTCCTCACTGTGCGGTGGGACGCAGGTTCCCCCCATGTCCGTGCAGCACCATGGAGTGAGTGGGGCTGGAATCTCTCCTGGGGGGGCAAAGGGCCATGCGAGATGGAGGGAGAGGGCGGGGTGGGCAACTGGTGACCTTGACCTCGGTGACCTTGGCGGGGTCTTGCCCTGGTGCACCTGGGATCCTCCTACCAGAGAATTACATGGGGGGGGGGGCAATTTCAAATGACCCTGTTTAGCAACCTACAGCTTAAATCCCATCACAACTTCAGGGTAATTTGAAGACAATATGCACAACAGGGGCGTTATAGAGCTCAGAAAGGTTTTGTAAAAGAGATTAGTAGGTGTTTGAAACAATGTGCTTTTTATAGATTTTAATTTAATTGTGTAAGTTTTTGATAGTTTGTGTTTTCACAGTACTGTGGTATTTAAATTCTGAAGCTTTGCAGAATTGCTCGCTGAATTGAAATAGATCGCTTAGGTTCCCTGATTTCCATTTAAATGTTCAACAAACCATCACAGGGAAGTAGTTTTGCATGGTTTATAACAACTTTAAGAGATTTGCAGCTGGGCTATGAATACATCCAATTAGAGTAAATATGACTTTCAAAATTACTTTTAGCTATTACCTGGTCAAGTTAGTGTAGAAGGAAGTAGTTTGCCTTGACATAGGACGCTAATATAGGTTTGAACATTTGATATATTAAAAACCAAACAAAACTGCACAAAAAGAGAAAAAATTACAGCAACTATTTATTACACATAAAACTTAATCAAAAAGAAAAAGCTGAGTTTTCAGGGTTGACTTTTTTATCACAGAGTTGGATATTTTTATTAAGTGACTGTGAGTTCAATTAGTGTTGTCAGTATTATCTGTTGAAGTTTAGATGATTTTATGTTTAATTTCGGGGAAAACCGATTGCAGCAGGAGGGCAGAATCTAGAATCACGGCACACAAGAGCGGGAAGATGTGTTGGCTGCTGCTTGTTAGCCCCAAACTCCTGTTTCCAGGGGAAGAAGCAGGTTGAGAAACTGGAAAGAAAAGAGGGACTGGAAGGTAGGTCTCCCTGGAGTGCCCTGGAGGAAAACGTAGGAAGGTATGAATGGCTACTTTTAATTGTAAAAGGCTTTAAATAGGCTGCCATAAAGGCAAATTATGCCAATCCCACACCCTAGAGAGTAGCCAACAGTGAATTTTTACATGTTTGCCTTTTTAGCTGGTTGGAGTTATGTGGACCCTCAGAGAGCAAGCAGCAGGAGAGAAGATTCCTTTTTATCACATTCCGAGGCAGGGCCTCCTTAGGGCCAGCAGGTGTAGACAGAGCACTGAATTCACAGGGCTCTTTCTTTCACCAACGTTTGCCTGGGAGGAAAATGGTTCAGATACGGTGGCTGCTTGAAGATACTGATGACTGTTAGTCTAAAGGTTAATTAATAAACGAAAATCCATGATTTCCTTTGATATGTTACTTTAAAGTGTCCTAAAGAAATCAAAGCACGTTATTTTTCTCACTGGTTAATAATGAAACACAGAGCGAATTATATGAAAATGTCTCGTCACAAGGGGGCACTGCTGTTTCAAATATGAGGCTACACAGAGCCTGTCTCTTCTGGGGGGTGATTTTTTGTTTTTAATGTTAAAAGTGTTTTGAAAATACTTCATGCTACCTTAAGCATTTCAGATCTCAGATAAACTTTTAAATAGAAAAATTCACAATTAGTGTTGCCTTTGGCCACATTTCTTTTTTCCCATCAAGGCCTGTGAATCCATCTCCGGGAATTTAGATACGCAAATCTAATCTAATGCCCTTGGGGAAAATAAGCGGGCAGACATCTTTCAGGCCACACTAGTTCTATTTTCGACTTCAATTTTTGTATTGAC